ATTACTATTCTTATTTCTATCTCAATTATATATATATATATATATATATACATATATCTATACTACCTTATAAATCAGATTTGTCAAAAGTTTTAAAAATAATTTTTAATGCATAAAATACTATACATTTATGCACAAAGTCTTAAAAGTCTTGTAAACAACTCATAATGCATTAAGTACTAATATTTTATACATTCAATCTTAAAATCTTTTAATCTAAAATTAAAATAACATATAGTACAAGTTACTAATGCACATTATTACATTTTCTTTTCATGTTCACAAGATACTTTTGACACCTTTCACTCATGCATTCACCCTCTCATACATCTATGTCTTCTCCACATCCCCCAAGTTGAGATTCAAACGGATATTCACCGTGAGTTATTAAAAATTCTCTCATTCATCTCTCGTTCAATTGCCCTAGAACTCTCGGTCTCGCTCTCGATCTCTTGATTCTTTGCTCTTGGTATAAATCGAACACATTTGTAGAGTCGTTTAAATATGTTGGATTTTAAATATATCAAATTTTAAATTGTCATACAGTTTTTTTCATCGATGGACTGTAATTGGAATCATAACTCTTATTTATTTAAATTTTATTAATATGTAAAGACTAAGTGTAACTTATATCATTGTTAAATCTTTTCTAATAAAACTAATGAAACTTTAAAATTGTTAAAATTCACGGCTCCCGCTGCATTCTAATGATACACATCTAGTAATGTATAATTAAAATTAATTAAATGATATTAATTAGTAATTATTTTTATTTATTAATATTAGCAATAATAAAAAGCATCAAATAAAGCTGTTTATTCCCTTTTTTTTATGTACTACAGTGGCATGCATGCATAAAGCAACATAACCTATGTAATAATAATACTACACAGCTACTTGAATATAAATAAAAAAAATTATAATAGAATTTATAATTAAAAAAATAGAAATAGAAGTAGAAGCAGAAGGAATACTCTGGATTTGGGTTTAAAACAAATCCACCGTCTCTTTTCTTCCATATTTCAACACCGAGTCTTGAGAGAGAGAGAGAGAGAGAGAGAGAGAGAGAGAGAGAGAGATTGAAGAACAGCAGGAGACTTCCGATTTGAAGATCTGAAGAAATTTGAAGAAATCCGATTTGTGCGGATTCGGTTTCTTGGTTCACGACATTTTCACCAACTTGAATCGCAATATCTGAAGAAATCGATGATCGTGAACGAATCGTCTTTGGTTGATCCTGATTCGGTGAGTTCATTCTCTGATTTCTCACCAGAAGAAGAATGTTTTCAGAAACATTTTGGTTTTACATCTGGTTTTTTTGATTATGTGTTCTTCAATTCTCAATTGTATATTTAGAAATATTTACGTTTTACATCTGGTTCTTTTAAGCTGTTCTGAATCTTGTATTCGTATTCCTTTATGGGTTTTCGCTATCTTTTTGTTCATCTGGTTTTTGATTCTGTCCATCTGGTTCTTGATTCATGCCTTCTTTATGATAAATGAGGAACTCCATTCTTAATTACTTTCAAGCTTTCTTGAATTTGTTCGTGTGGGTTTTCTTGAATTAACAATTTATATTGTTCATTCTTGTTTAAGGTCTCTGCAGATCCAAGCACATCTCATCCAACCGAATATTATTCAATCATCCAACTTAAAGAAACTATTATGGATCCATAAACGTAAGTATTCTCTCTCTCTCTCTCTCTCTCTCTCTATATATATATATATATAATGCATGTGGTTGATCATCATCGTCTTTAGTTTTGGCCTTCTTTTCTGATTCTTTATCTGAATCTTGATCATTCATCATCAACGTCTTCTTTTTCTTTATCTGAATCTTGTTGTTTTGTTTAAATCTTTTTTTCATCACCAAATCGATGCTTTGGTGGAAGGGAGTTTAATTTTGTTTCTTAAAACATTTTTTTAATCTATTATTTTATGCAATCTAGTATTCTGACATTGATTAAATCTTTATTGTAACAAGTTTCTAATTATATTTTGTTGATTATAAATTACTTTTTTAATACAAATTTAAACTACTTCAATGTATTTTTTAATTTAAAAATATTAAACAAAATATTATTTAATATATATTAAATATTGATGTGATTGGAAATGTTCATCTATAGAATTTAATTTTGTTTTGTTTTTATATTAAAAAAAAGACTAATAGTCCTGGGTCCTTGTTTTCATCCTTTAAACGCAATTTATCTAATGAAATATTTTTGGTATTTGTTAAATATGAATTATACAAAGGATTTATATTT